CTGTTAGCTTCTCTGTGTTGTAAGAGTTACAAATTAGCAAATGTATTATTTTATATGTTTCTTGATTTGATTGAACCACACTAAGTGAATTTAGCCATTATTATATTAAAGTATAAGTCAAATAATACTGACATTGTATGGCTTATGTGTATAGATGCTTTCTAGAAAAGCAATTTATATTTAAGCAGTGTTATCAAACAAAACATCTCATTGCTAAAGGTAAGTTCTCTCTGCTGAGTTCATGCGGACTTCTTCACCTTTAACTGATTTTTTTTTTTTCGCCTTCAAGTTATTTGCTCTTTTTCATGATGTTTTTGGAAACAGAGGCCAGTGTAATGTAATCTTGAAAATGCTTTTCTGTATATGTTTGTCAAATTTATTTAAACTTGTGGATTTTTTCTGCAAATGGATCTACTGAAGACATGAAATCTAAGAAATCTAATGTTAACTTCTGTTGAGCTTTACTTTATGTTGAAATCATAGAGTTATTTTCCTATTTCTTTATATGTTAAGAAAAAAAGTCTGTACTTTTACAGTATATGTTCTGCTTCTATCTGTTAAAGACTAATCTAATTTCATCAGAACAAATAAACATATGAATTTCAAATTAGTAACTAAATACATGATTGGTGTAAGATGAACTTATTTTTTCTTTGTTAAATGTTATTTGCTAATTTTTAAGAAGGTATTGTAGCTTTTTAGCATATGGTTTTTTGCTAATTGAGTTGTTTTTTAGGTTTATATGTCCTGTGGAAAAGTTGCTTGCATTCTATATATTTTTGGGTGTATGATAGTTGATTTATTTATTCTATTCTTTAGTAATGTTTACATTTCACTGAATCATGTTGTTTTTTTGTAGGTTATTGCTCTTTCAACTTCTTGGCATCTTCGCAGATAAATAGGAACGCTGTCGCAATTGTCCAGTTCTTGCTATCAGGTTAGTCAGAGATTTTTCCAAACTACTGTTTGATGTCCTATTTGTTTTGTTATGTATTTGCTTTTATATGTGTGTGATTGTATATATGCTGTAGTGTTGTTTTTTTATGACTATATGTTGATAATCTAGGTTATGCAGTGTCTTTTATTGAATGTGCCTATTATTGCATAAGAAAACCCGATAAGTTACTTGTTTACATGTATGAATTACAGTTTGCCTTTATTTGACCTGTTGCTGGTATATGTTGGTTTTAATGCTCTTTAATGTGCATATATTGAACTATTAGAAAGTAGCCTGTTCTCATAAAAATAATCAAACTCGCACATTGCTATATATATATAGTAGTTAATTATGTAGTCGAATTACAATAATAACCTTTTCTTCAACTTAGACCCTTTGTTTCTTAACTCCTTTTAGGATAAATCTAAGTTTATTTGTATTTAGTGTTTTTAGATCTTTCAGTAACTTAGTAGTTTAATTTGCTTTTGGTAGTTTAGGCTGTACAAATAAATCTTTTAAGCATGTTTCAATCTCATGAAAACAATAGATCGGCCGAGCTTTTTGCCTCTAAAATCATTCTCTCTAAAAAAAGATATCGCTATTATGCTATTCAAAGATGGAAACAAAAAAAAAAAGGCGAGCTGTGGTTGCAACTCAGGATATACGTCTATTACCGCTTTACAGTTCTGAAAATGTTGTTAAGGAAAATATGTTAGACAATTCCATACTTTATATGGATACAAATCAATAGATGTTGTGCAATGTAAAAGCTACCAAGTCACAGAACCTCCTTTCTATTATACACATCAGATATTACCTAAAGAAACTCTGAATAAAACACCTGATAAACCTACAGCTAAAAATACCTCTTCAGTTACATTCAGTACCATAAAAGGCAAAGCAAGTATAATTGAAAAAGGAAGAGGTCGGAAAAATAAACAAGCATGTTCTAAAAACAAAGTTGTTTTACCAATGGTAAACTTCTAAACACACAAAAAGGTTGAGATATAGCCATTCAGACAACCCCTAGAACTATAACTTCGTTCTGAGATTGTCGAATGGGCAAACTTTCAGTCGTACACTGATTTCTGCAAAGTGCACCCTTTAGGTGAACCTATACTGTTGACGACGCATGGTGAAGGTAATTATTTATTAATCAAAAGGTCAAACATTATAACTATCTAACTAAACATAATTTTTTTTTACATTACTCTTTAAACAAACCTCTCATTTAATGCATGTTAAACAGGTCCCTCTACTAATAATAGATCAAGACCAACAGGTATAGTCTAATGAACAAAATTGGCTAAAGTTTTTAAAGGAAATAATTTGGATTAATTAATAAAACATAACTTTGATCTGTATTTGTATTAGGTAATACTCAACCCCCGTGTCGTGCCCTTTGGAATAACATTCCAGGTGAACCTTTTATACTTTCTAAACAAAGGAATTGTCGATATTGCAGTTAAGTTTCAATATGAATCAAGCAAGTTTTGCTGTTTAGACGGCATATTAAATTAGCAAATAATCCTTTGCCAGATATTTTGAAAACATTACTTTTATCATCAACAGAAGAATCTAAATTGTTTCGTGATTGCATAAGAACTATCAATAACCAATTTGCCTTTACATCATTAGGAGTCAAATGTGATAACAATTTAACGAGGCGTGATAAAGGGATTTGCACTTTTAGAATACAAGGTCAAATGTATCATTTTATGAATGATTTGGAATCCTCTCAAAATTTACAATTGTATTTCCATGATACTGAAAATGAGATTGCCAATCGATTGAAAGCTTGCCCTAGATTAACAGAATCCATAATCCACAAAATCATGACTGTTCTAAAGGAAAATCCTTACGCACAGTTCTTTAGAAGTATTAGCGAACTATCCAATTTTGATGATTATAAAATAGTACTGCGCACTTTCCCAAAACTTGACCAAAGAGTTTATAATAAACCAGAAACCAGAATCATCTCAAGTAGCAGCCTTATGGGTTGAAAGTGATGACAGTGAAGAACCATCTGAGAGAAACATTCGAATATATAGTCATAGCGGCATTGCATAGAATACAATAATATTTTGGTTGTTATGATCCATTGCAATACCTTTTGCTTTTTCCTTTTGGTGAACTTGGTTGACATCAGAATATAGAAAAATTAGCTAACATTATTTCAGGAAATGCATCACGAGTAAATCAATCATTTCATGTAATTTCGCCTGCATCTCTACAATCTGTACACGAGTTACTCGAAGCAGAAGATGGTAAGCAACCATAAAACATACCTTCAAAATATAGTATCTTTTGAAGCAATGTTTTAAGTATATTGTATTTCCCTGAAGTAGAACTAACATATAGAATACTTTTCTTTTCAGCTAATACTAAAACAGGGGGGAGTAGAATTTTTGTTTCCATGAGAGACTATTATGCCTATAAATTCTAGATAAGACACAATGACAAATCATATTTATTGAATTTTGGTAGATTATTTCAAGATGTGTATGTCAAAATTGAGTCACAGAGATTAGATTACTTTAGGCTACAAAAAAATGAGATCATACAGGAATTTCTACAAGGAATACAAGATAGTGTAACGGCAGGTGAAACAAATGCATAAAAAATAGGCCAAAGAATATTTTTGCCAGCAAAAAAAAAAAAAAAAAGATACCTAGATGCAATGACATTAGTACAAAGATTTGGTAAACTAGATATTTTTTTTACTATGACATGTAATCCCAGTTGGCTTGAAATTAAAGAACTTTTAATTGAAAACGAAGAAGCAGATAACAGACCTGATTTAGTTGCAAGAGTTTTCCGTGCTAAACTTGAAGAGTTGAAAAAAGACATCCTTAAAAAACATTTGTTTGGGGAAGTAGTTGCATACACATATGTTATAGAATTTCAAAAAAGAGGACTTCCACAAGCCCACATGCTTATTATACTTGCAAATGAGAATAAATTATATAACTCTGAAGAGTTTGATAAAGTTGTTAGTGGTGAAATACCAGATAAAACATTACAGCCTCATCTATACAACATGGTTAAGAAATGCATGATGCATGGTCCATGTGGAGAATTAAACCAAGGTAATTCGTGTATGACGAATAAAAATAAATGCAGGTTTAATTATCCAAAGCCTTTTTCTGATCGAACTGTTCGGATAAGTAATTCATATCCAAAATATCTGAGAAGAAATAATAATGTTAGAGTCAAAGTTCGAGGAGAAATGTTAGATAATCGATGGGTTGTACCATATAATCCATATTTACTTGCAAAATTCAACTGCCATATTAATGTAGAAGTTGTTCAACAATCCGATCTGTTAAATATATTTATAAATACATTTGCAAAGGTCATGACAGAATAGCATTTCATGTTGACACATCTAATCAAATTGTCCAAGTTGATGAAATTGAACAATATAGAACAGCACGTTGGGTTTTTCCACCTAAAGCTGCATGGAGGATTTTCAGGTGTCCAATAAGTGAAATAAAACCTGTTGTTATTAATTTACCTGTTCATTTGGAAAATTATCATAAAATCAACTACAAAAAAAAAAAAAAAAATGATAGGCTGGTTAGAATTGTAAACAATCCAAGGAATCATAAAACTATGCTAACTAAATTTTTTATATGAACAGAACTAATGAATACGCACAGTCCCTCAATCTAACATATATGCAATTCCCTGAGTTGTTTGGTTACTTGAAGAAAAAAAATGGAAAAAAAGAGGTGGAAAAGACTATAGCTAGAATTGTAACTGTACATCCAAATGAAGAAGAGAGATATTATCTTAAAGTTACTCTTACTGCACGTTAAAGCTCCGAAATCTTATGTAGACATAAGAACTTTTATTCGATAATACCCAAGATCTTTGCCTTGAAGAAGCTTCCATTTTCAAAATGCCATATGAAATGAGAAGACTTTTCGCTAATCTCTTGGTTTATTCATGTCCTAACAATCCTAGAGAACTATTCTTCAAATATGAAGATGCTATGTCTGAAGACTATACACGTAACATATATTTTAGCAAAATAGATGTTAGAAAAAAAGTGTTACAACAAATAAATGGTTTCCTAGAATCTATGGGAAGAATTATTCATTCTTTTAATATTTTACCTGATAATATTCATTTACATGGTGAAGAAAACAACAGAGAAATAACAGCCGAAACCAATATAACTGTTTCTGAAGAAGACTTAAATACCATAAAATCGCTAAATCAAGAACAAAAAAAAAAAACTTTCGACATTATACTAGAACGAGTGTACAGGAGCTTTTTTTTTTATAGATGGCCCAGGTGGAACTGGCAAAATTTTTTATATAAAGCTATTTTAGCTGACATTAGATCCAAGGGTTATATAGCACTAGCAACTGCTATCTCTGGTATTGCTTCAGTTGATCATGATATTTTGATTTCTTCAGTTGTTTACTCGAACTTTATAACCTGTTATAAATACCAATTATTTAATATATTTTGTAGCTTTTCCAAAATGACAATTCTCGATGCATGGAAGAAGCTCACGACAGCTAGCTCTCTCTTCTCTCGCTTTTTTCATCCTCCTCCTTCAAGGGGTATAGCTATGGTGTCACCCACAGCTTTGAAAACAGAGGTACTTTCTAAAAATTATAAATTGTAATTGCTGTTAAAATTTTTATGTCTTTAAAAATATTAAATTTTGTGTTTTGATTGGCAGACTTTAGTCCGTCCTTACCCTCCTGTTCCCCTATATTTTGTTGTGCAATCTGTTTACTCGGCAGCTAGGAGAGCTGTTACGGATGAGAAAGGGTATGTCTGCTGGAATAGAACAGATTTCTCCAAGATGGGGATTCATGGAATTTGGGTAAAAGAAGTGGATTCCAGTAAGCTTTTGAGACTAATCATAACAAATAGAGAAGTTCGAAAAGCATTTAAAAGCACTAGGTTTCACCGATGAAAGGTTGAGGGAGTTGGCCGAACGTGATCGTGATCATCAACTGATAAGAGCATTGATATCTCACTGTGAGCGTACACAACTTAGTGAAGCTCAACTTTGCACCCACAACAAATAAACCATAGTGAAGCTCTCTGTACGCTTTCAGTGAGATATCAATGCTTTTATCAGTATCAACGATCACGTTCGGCCACATTTCGGCCAACTCCCTCAACCTTTCATCGGTGAAACCTAGTACTTTTAAATGCTTTTCGAACTTCTCAACAACTTTTTTTGTTATGAATGGTCTCAGAAGCTTACTGGAATCCACTCCTTTTACCCAAATTCCATGAATCTATCTTGGAGAAATCTATTCTATTCTAGCAGACATACCCTTTCCCGTCCCTAACAGCTCTCCTAGTTGTCGAGTAAACAAATTGCACAACAAAATATAATGGAACAGGAGGATAAGGACGGACTAAAGTCTGCCAATCAAAACACAAAATTTAATATTTTTAAAGACATAAAAATTTTAACAGCAATTACGATTTATAATTTTCAAAAAGTACCTCTGTTTTCAAGCTGTGGGTGGCACCATAGCTATACCCCTTGAAGGAGGAGGATGAAAAAAGCGAGAGAAGAGAGAGCTAGCTGTCGTGAGCTTCTTCCAAGCATCGAGAAGTGTCATTTTGGAAAAGCTACAAAATATATTAAATACAACTAATGATTGGTATTTATAACAGGTTATAAAGTTCGAGCTATAAACAACTGAAGAAATCACAATATCATGATTCAAACTTGAAAACAACTAAAATTAAAAACACGAATAAATACTCATGGGATGGGAAACCTTTATCATGACATACATAGGATATCAGATCGAACACTATAGCATGATTAAGCATTATAGATAATTGTACCCAAAGTGAGAAGAAGTCTTTAACTAGAGAAAACCCACCAATTTGGAATTTGGTTTGAGAATTTTCTTTTGCTCGTGCTAGGTGAAAAACAAGTTGACAACGAAGGACTGAACAAGATATTCTCTCCTCAGGTTCGACTGAATTCTGGCAAACACGACATTGACGTGAGACAACCAAAACTAGTTAATTTACCGAGTAAAGTCTAAAAGTACACTAAAGCAAATAATTGGTAATGAAAAGGGCAATGTGAAAAACAAACTATCATGGAGCTTCCAGGTAGAAAAAGTGGGAAAATAGAATGTAAAAGAAAATAAATTAACATAATTCTTGCAAATTGCAATATACATCAAATAAAATGTCATTGGTTTAGGTAGTACACAGCCAACAATTGAATTGTTATTAAAGAGGTGGGGCATATAATGGAGGAAACAGCATGAGGTCTAGCAGAAGAACAGAACAACTTGTTCCCATAATTCAATCCAACAAAACCAATTGACCTATAATTGAATATATGAAGATTCAAACATGACAAACAAAAATTAAAAACACTAACATAGAGGAGAGGACAGAGGAATGTGCGAAGGTGTGGGGGAACCCTACCGCTCTTCTTAGTTTATAATTACTAAGCTTTGGCTGTTGCACAATTAATCTGTTATTGCTAATCAAATATTATTCCTTACATATTGTGCGGAGATAATACTTTGTATTAGAACAAATCCTGCACATGGCTACTTATTTTTTTTCCAAAACCATAAAGGTTTTATTCATAACAATCAAGTTTCAAGCCTGTAAAAGAGAAGTTTACCTTCTGATTTACAGCAACCACCACAGGGGATAATAAAAGGTAAAAGGTTCCAAGAAAGTAACAAATTGTAATTAGCCGAAAAAAATGAATTATCAAACTGCAAACAGAGCTACAGACTTTTAACTTCTTAGGTCATGTTTGCGGACTTGTACAAGATAAGGCCATGATTAAGACTTCTAGTAGATTAACACTCTTCATATAAGATCAACCACATTTTATACCTTATTTGCGGTCCTAGATAGGCTATAGATAAACAATTGAACCATTGAGTAATTTTTTTGTTTGCCATGATGAAAAGGTATGATAAGATGTAAAAATTACAAAATTGTCCTTATATTTGATTTTTTCCATATCAATCCTACCAACATCAATTCAATTGTTCTCACACTTTATAAGATTCCATCAATTAAATATGAAAAATACTTAGCATTGTTCATGTCAGCTTAGAATCAAAATGATAAAATGAAAATACATTTAGAATCACAAAATTACCTGGGCAGCGCTGGGAAATTCATGTCGGTGTTGATAAGAAACTTCACCAGCGCCGGGTACGTGACGACGGTGAAGGCAAAAAGCTCGTCGAGCTTCGTGGACCGTGGTCAGGAACAAGAGCTGTAGGCATAGCGCTGGATTTAAATATCGATTGAAGAATATGAAAAGAAGTGATTGAACTAAATAATGATTTGCTTATTACAGGCCACCTTAATCACTCTAAATAGAAGACAATCAAGAACATGTAAAAAAGACGTAGAACAAACACTCCAAGTCCATACTTCTTAGGCTCATTTGAACACACTAATTATTCAAGATCAGAATCTAAAACCCAATGTAACTCCAATTCGAAATAGCAATCACAACCAAGAAGCTTTATCCTTCAAGAGGAGTTCTTCATATCAACAACACAATCCAAAACTTCCCTTACTTTTAACCCACACAAATAATTATTCTTTTAAGATCGTAATTCTAATTTACATCAACAATTACATCAATTTCAAGTAACATCACTAATTACACCAATTGAAAATGAGAAAAAAAAAAAGGACAAAAATACACCTTTTTTTAGAGACGAAAGGAACGTGATCTTGCCGGGCCCTATTGTATAAAGCCCAGCCCTACCGCAACCGTGTCCTCCATATACATCAGTCTCTTATGCGAGTTGCTGTCCCTTACCCAGATCTATCGATTAGTCCCTTTTAAGTTTTTTTTTCTTGAGTTCGAACCCAAATCTCCTTTTCCTCGCCTTTCCGAGTAATCGGCCACAGTGGATTTTGTCTGGGAAAGAAAACTCGTCAAATGCAGCTCCAATTCTTCCATCGGCGACTCTTGAAAGTCCTCTCCACGCAAACAGACCCGACCAGGCATCGTTGTTAAACCCTAGGTCGTCGCTGACTAGAATGGCCAAATCGGGCCCTCTTGGAGCCCTGCTCATAGTCGAAAACACATAAGAAAGAGAATTTTAGATAGTAATTTATGTGTGTTGACTGATCGTATGGGTATGTTCGGGGTAAATTTACCGAAGAAGCAAAAACGAAAAAAAAAAAGAAAAAGAAAAAGTGTTATATCGTCAAAAATAAAAACACACACACACACACAATTTTGATTCAGCTCGAGGTTCGCAAAAAAATGCTGAAAACACACACAGATCGACGATTGAATCGGAAAAAATCGAAGGAAAAAGACAAAAAAAAAATACCTCATCTGTAGATGGAAGGCCACAGAATTCGTCTCCCAGTCTCCCTTAATTCGGATTGGAAAATGAAGAAGAATGAACCCTCTTTCTTTACTTTCTGTCTTATCTGCCTTTCGGAAGAACAGTGGAAGACGGGCGTAAGATTGAAATAAGATTTCTTTTTCGGTCTTCGAGGATAGAGACCGTGCAAAGCCCGAAAAAATGGGCTGCCCAAAAATTGGAGAAAAGAATTAATAATTGAATGCAGGGAATTGTATGCAAACTCTTTGACAATTTATCAATTTAAATTTCATATAACATTTTCAATAAATTTAATATAGTGAATTGTATTACAATTGATTTCATATTTTTAAGTTATAAATATTATTTAATGTGTATTTTTAATTTATATATATTAATAAATATCTCCTACCCCTACATAGCACATGATTCGTATTAGTTAAAGAAAATAGAATCAAAATAAGCAAATATTTAATTATGTATATAAGAACTAGAAAGGTGTTATTATATAAGAACTAGAAAGGTGTTACTATATGGTATCTAATCTCTCTAATAATATCTCCTACCGTGCATAGTACGGGATTCGTACTAGTTAATAATTGAATGCAGGGAAATATATATGGCAAAAGCAAATTTTTGGCAAAAATGAATGACAAAACTGTAAATAAAATGGACACTTGTCCACTTTTGAAGGCTAAAAAATGGACACGTGTCAAGACCACAAAGAGTCTAACTCCTTCACATATAGATAAGACTAGCAATCTCCGACTGTGCCAGTGATTACATTATTTGATTAGCATCTATATACAAGAATCTTAATAACTCATACAGCAGCAATCATTCTTATATTTATGCAAGCACCAAAATATTACACCAAAATATGTTTGTTTGAAGTCTTGAAGGTACATACACATACCAAACACACAAACCATACACATAGATAGATTGCAGTCATTTGTGCAAAATGTATTTTCTAATGTGTGGCTAAATGAAAATGCAAAATATTAATGCTCATTAAGCACTATAAGCTTACTCAGCAATAATATTTTTAAGATAATGCCACTACGCAAAATAGTTGGGGTTTATTGTCATCTCCCTTACAAAAGCAAATGACTAAAAATATAATGTGTAAGTTAAAGATCCGAAAAATGTGGTTTTTTCGGATTGAAATCTTTTTGTTCCACATTTGAAGTGCCGATATGCTGCTTTGACGATTTTTCCTGATTGGTTTCACCTTTGGAATCACTTGGGCCGCTGAAGATTAGTTTTCGCTTGGTGGAGCTCCCTGCTGATTGTTTTTCTGCTTCCTTTTCCATTCTGGAGTAAGGCGAATCATCACCTGCAAATGGAATTTGGCTACCAGTTGGTGTTATCAGGTGCTCATCTGCCGCAACTTGGTTTTCCTAGTCAGTAGAGATGTGCATTTAGCAGTTATGGTGAAATGAAAATGAATTGCACTTTACAAAAATTGCATGAATTTTAATGTGTACCATTCTTGCATGCTGCCTTGCTTCTCCATGAATCTCATCTTCTATAAGTATAGTTTCACTATGGTGTAGTTGTCCATAGGATATCCATAATATGACTCATAATGCCTAACGAAGCATGTGATAGTTTTCTTCCAGAAGCCTGTTATGATTTCTGACAACAAATTGTTGCCCTGGTAAAGTGGTGATAAACAGGTTGTTAGAAATTCAGCAATACAAATGATCAGATGTGTTGGTAGCGTATGTTCACTCAAATATGTTGTGCACCTCTTTCTCAGCCTCATACATTTGTAATGCAGTAAATGGAATCAACTTTTCAGCATCTTCAGCATAAATGAGTGCGTTTAATACTCCTGTTCCGTCATTAATAGCCACAAGAAACCTACATCTACAGAAATTATATTTAAATCCATTAGTCATATGAACATGAATGAAAGACTTTAAAATTACAATTTATAGAAGTTACAGCATAATTTTACCTCGGCTCTACATTAGTTTGTTCTTGGCATATTGTGCAATCCACTTCCCAACCAACTGGAACTTCAAGCTTAGTGTGACAATGTCCACATGCACTGAACCATAAGGATTTCTGGTTTGTGACCATGGTGACCTGACCTTGCACCCATGTAGCTTTCACCTATAATAAGGCAATAATCTATTTCAGTTTCTCGACATATAAATATACAATAATATTTACTTTGAATATAATGTTGTTGACACTAACTGTTTTGTTAAGTGAACGCAAAGCTGCTTGAACTGTGACAACATGATTGCTATTTGGTGGTGGCAAAAGGATAGAGGCATTCATGAATGCTTTGTTTTCAATTAGATGTACAACTTCAGCTTTGTGTTCTATGTACCTGTAATTATAATGTGCATCATATTAGATTTATTTTCAATAGTTGAAAAATAAACCTACATGCTTACCATTGTTTAAATTAACTGCTTCTTTTGCATAGGTGGGTTGATTAGAATGCAGGTCGGCAACCTTGTCGTTAGAGATAAACCTGTGTGTGAATGAACGATGTTAAAGGTACACTATTTTAGAATAAATCGATAATGAAACAAAGATAGGTATGAATATGGGGAAAACTTACAGTTGAAAGTTGTGACTTTGATCCTCATTGCGAGCACAATATTTCCTGTTGGGATTGATGATGATAGTTGAACACCCTCATTTGCTTCAAACTCGTTCCATAGAGTGAACAACATTGGTCTTTTCCTGTAACACATACATTAAATTGTTTTATTTATTTATTTTCCACAAAAGCACACAGTAGTAAACATAGCAGCATACTAACTTTTCATTGACAATGACTATATCCCTTGTTCTTGACTTTCCAGTTCATTTGACAGGTAAGGCATGCACGACGACACCCATGATATCTAAAAGAAAAAATGTCATAGTAAAATGGTTATTATATTTTTTCATTTTTGGTAATCTTTTTAAAAGTGTAATGAAGGCATTCTATGAGCATTGTATTGATATACTAACTTTGCAAATTTTCTGTATCAGCAAATTGGTATAAATTCTGGAATTGTTGGATTTCTATGTGGCATGGAAATTGTGGCGTCATTGGTTCTTCGTAAGCTTCCATTAAGGTGCTTTTTTTAAGGGTCCACTTGTATGCATAGTCACTAACTTGATATCTTGGATCAAGTGGACTGACAATAGCATTGGAGACATAATACCGCTTGTACGGCACCATCCTTTTTGAAACCACCTCCAAATCAGCGGAATAGACAATTGCAATACTTTCGTTCCCTGCTCGTTTGTTAAGAATGAAACATTCAAACTATATAATTTTAAACATTAGTTATATGAAAACTTTAAATACAACAATATTATTTATCTATTCACCTAAATACAGAGGCATAAAATGTATATTGTATAATTTACTTACTTCTGAGTCTGTGAGCAAATATTTTCTGTATGGTAGATTTTTTGGGGGCTTGCTAATTTGGATATGACTCTTCTCCACAACCTGGACAATTGCGGTCCATGCTGATGTTTTGTCATCAACTTCTTTAATTTGGACAAATTTCCTCGACATCTTGATCTGCATAAAATAAACATTAATTATATCAAATCTTAATTATAAGTATGATAACCATATAAGAACATAAAAGATGGACTTTTAGAGTGAACTGAAATTACTTTGATTTGCCTTTGCCATTTCCAAAACTTCTTTATAAACAATATTTTTTGTGCGCTTTACGCTGTCCTTTGTAAAAAAAGCAGAGCTTATTAACATTTTAACATTTGCAGCTGTACGTGCACGCGATGACGCAACATACAATTGTCCATGCGAAAATACTGGTTCTTTGAGGTAAATTCCAACAGCATCTAATGTCTCTGCCCTTGTGCTTTATTAATAGTCATTGCAAATGATAATCGCACAGGAAATTGAGTTCTTTTATATGGGACAGGATATTGTTCATCCTTTGATGGTTCAAGTGGAATTCTATGAATGAACACTTCCTTTCCAGCAAAATCGCCAACCATGATTTGAGCATGAATGACATTTTTTGTTAACTTTTTGCATATAAGTCTTGTCCCATTGCATAAACCTTCAGTAGGGTCTAAGTTACGCAAAAGAATTATTGGCACATTTTTTTTCAAAATTAGCCTATGTGATGGTAAGCCACTTGGTGTTAAAGAATTAATTATATCTTCGTATTGACCTTTATGTTGGTGGTTCAATACTTCATCGAAACTAAAATACTCAACCAAGTCTCCTGGAAATCTATCTATAAGTATGTTATTTATTTCATCAACAAAAGAATTTTTAGTAGACAAAATTGCTTTATTTGTTGTGCACAATGTGTCTGCGGGCATACTAAAGTTTGGAAAAATGGACTCTATCAGGTCAATTAAGTTTGGCTCAGATTCTTTATTACAAAGAAGTAAATTATCAGGAATTTGAACACTATCATTCTCATCTGTTGGCTCAACTCCATCCCCGATTCTAAGCAAAAAGTCTGTGAATTCTGGATCATAACGTGCCCTCATATTTTCTGTTAGCTGAAGTTTTTCTAGATAGGGCCAAAGTGGTGATTTAATTAAACACGAATCTATTGTATCAAGTCTACTACCCTTACGAATGACTGGTAGAATTTGACGGAAATCACCACCAAACACTATAACTTTGCCTCCAAATATTTCTTTTGAGTCTAACATATATTGCAAAAGCTTATGCAAAGATCTCTTTGCCATGGGTGCTTCGTCCCATATTATCAATTTACATTCTCTCAACAAAATTCCTAGGCTGCTTTGTTTACTTACCTTGCATCCATTTTGGTTTTCGCATATTTGAAGAGGCAGTTTAAATCTAGAATGAGCTGTCCTACCCCCGGGCAAAATTGATGCAGCTATTCCTGAAGTTGCGGTTGCTAATGCAATGTATCCCTTTGACCTAACATCAGCTAATAGAGCTCTATATAAAAATGATTTTCCCGTCCCTCCTGGACCATCAATAAAAAATGCCCCTTCTTTATTTTCATATATGCGACTCTGTATGATATCAAAAGCATGTTTCTGTTTTTTGTTTAATAAATTTATGGTATTTAAATCCTCAACACTAACGGTAATATTTTTTTCAGATTCTAATTCTCTTGTATTAAAAGAAACATCAAAGCCTGAAAAGTCCTCGTCTAAAATGCCAAATGAACGAATGTCTTTGCCCATCGACATAAAAAATTCAGCAATTTGTTGCAAAACTTTTTTTCTTATCTCAGTTGGACTCATTGTTTGTTGTCTATAAAAATCTTCTGATAAAGCTGGTTCATATTTTAACCATAAGTCCTTAGGATTATTTGGGCATGTAAATACTAATATGTTAGCAAAGAGTCTACGCAATTCATATGGCATTCTAAATTGAGAAGCCTCTTCCAAACATAAATCTTGACTATTGTTATCTTTAAGTAAACCCCTCATTAAAGCTGCCTCCCGAAAACTGGTTGCTTGCTTATGATTATATAATTTTAAATCTTCAAAAGATTTCGAAGAACGAACTTTAAGTAAAAGCAATCGCAAGTAATACCTCTCACCTTCCGATGGATGTGCTGATACTATTCGACCTATGGTTTCTCCACGTATACGCCTTTTCCAACGTTTTTCATTTTTTATCCAGACATAATATTGAGGAAATTCTATATATGTAAGATTCAGTTCTTGTGCCTCTTTGTCAGTTCTATTCATACGGAAAAATTCAGTAAGCATCGTTTTATCATTATTAGGATTTCTGACAATGTTTCTTAATTTGTCACGACCCTTATAGCTCACTCTTTGGTAATTTTCCAAATGTAGCTGTAAATTAATTACTGCTGGTTTTATTTCACCCATAGAAAATCGATATATTCTCCAGGTGGAGAAACCCAACGTGCAGCTGTAAATTGTTGTATCTCATCTATTGCACTCTCTGGTTTGTCTGAATTAACATGAAATGCTATTCTATCATGACCCTTGCAAATATATTTATATATATATTTTATAGCGCGAATAGTTGAACAGACCTCAACATTAATATGACAGTTAAATTTAGCAAGCAAGTATGGATTGTAAGGAACTACCCATCTATTATCTACATGATGTTGCCCAATTTTCACCCTTTGATTATTGTTTCGGCGACGATAAATTGGATAGCCATCATTTACTTGGTATGTGTGGTCACAAAATTGTTTAGGATATGAATGCTTACACTTAGCCTCTTTGGCTTTTCCTTTTTTGACCATGCAAGTACTTGAAGGATTTACATCACCACATGGGCCATGTATCATGTGTTTTCTGACCATTTTATGCAAATGTGGATTCTCATTTTTATTTGGAATTTCAGCGCACACTATTTTGTCATACTCTTCTGGCCTAAACAATTTAAACCTAGATTGTAAAATCAATAAAAAGTGTGCATGTGGTAATCCTCTCTTTTGGAATTCAATAACATGTGTATGCAGCTACCTCACCAAAAATATTCTTTTTAAATAATTCATTTTTCAGCACTTGCAGTTTTGCATTAAAGACCCTTGCAATTAAATCTGGTCTATTTTGAGCCTCTTCATTAGCAAGTAATATTTCTTTGATCTCTGGCCAAGCTGGATTGCAAGTCATTGTCAAAAAAATATCAGGTTTTCCAAATTTTTGAATGTCATAGCATCTATATATCTTTTTCTCATATTTCTTGGTCCACCAATAAAACTTGCAGGCAAATAAGTTCGCTGACCTACTTTCGAACCCTCTGTTTCTCCGGCTGCTAATGCATCTGTAGTCCCTGTAAGTATTCTTCTCTAATTTCTTCTTGTTGTAATCTAAAAAAATCTAATCTTTGTGACTCTAATTTAACATACATGTCAACAATATATTGCTGAAATAATCGACCAGACCTAAGCAAAATAGACTCTTCATGTTCCCTCATTTGTAACTTATATGAATAATATTCTCTTACTGAAACAAAATTGTTATCTTTTTTGCTCGCCGATGCAGCTGAAAGCAAATATTTAAGGCATAGTTAGTGTGCAAATAAATTATTATTAAGAAGTTTTTATGAACAACAACAATTTATTATGGGAATTACCTGAATGTTCCATATCAAGTAACTCCTCAACATCATTTGCATTATTGGTTACCAGAGAAGATTCTCCAGTTCTATTACTTATGATGTTAGTGTTATGCATCATTTGTTTTTTAGTTATACCCTCGTGCCAACCAACTTCACCAAATGGAAAAAGAATAGGATATTGTAAGGGGTCATAACACCCAAAATAATAACTTATGCTATGTGATTGCCCACCATGAGAATACACTTTTATATCTCTCCTGCTTGTTTCTCCATTTTCATCACCCTCAACCCATAATGCAGCCACTTGAGATACATTAGGTTTGTTAAATACTCTTTGATCGACATCAGGAAGAGACTTCAAAACGATACAGTAATCATTTGGAGGGTTCATATCACGGAGATGTTTAAAAAATTTTACATATGGATTATCCTTAAGTAGCCACATAATTTTTTTAATTAAACTTTCTGTGAGCCTTGGACATATTTCTAAACGTTTAGCAATCTCATCTTCAGTGTCATGAAAATATAGTTGAAGATTCTGCGAGCCAGACACATCTTTAATAACATGCTATAGTTGACCTTGTATTTTAAAGGTGTACACACCTTTGTTTCGCTTTTCTAGTTCCTTATCACAATTTACTCCCATTGACGTAAATGCAAAATGATTATTAACTGTCCTAATACATGTTCTAAACAACTTAGCTTCTTCTGAGTTAGATTCAAATAAATCTCTCAATAAAGATGGCGCAATATTGCAGCTTATATTAACATCACCATTTACACAGCACATATGCGATGTCTCATGAAAAAATTTTCGTGCATTGCAGTATGAGCAATTAGGAGGCCTAGGCAAAACGCTAGATTCAGTAGGAACCACTTGTAACAAATGGTGTCCGTCCACAACTTTCTGACCTGCTATAGATTTAGTTAGTATTGATTGCATATATATTATTAAAAACTGATATATTATCAATGTTTATGATTTGACCCAAAAAATTATTACCTGCACGACTCTCAGCATTATTTTGATGTTGGTTATTCCGAAGAGAACTATTACTTCGTGGGTTATTAGGTTGGTTTACTGGAACACTTGTTTGTGTGGAACTCTGACCACGTGACAATGACCTAACATGACTTAATGACGGTCTTGAACGTTCAACCTGACCTATTTTATTCATTTTTTTGGCTCTATATTTCTCTAAACTTTCAGCTCTACGTCGTTTCTTTGATGAAATATCCGTACCCTCTGATCTTTCTAATACAATTGGCACAAAAGTTGGCCACATTTTAACTGCACCAACACAAAATCTCAAGGAAAAAGAAAAGATAATTCCAGCGTCGATCAAGAACAAAATGCAAATAATAAATAGATGGCAGTGTAAAAAAAGACCATAAAATATACCTATTCACAAAGAAACGGCAAAAAGGAGCTACCACATACAAAAAGAAAGAAAACTACTTTGGATAATTATATTTCCAAAGGCAAGAGTTACCTGGTATGCAGCAAGTGAATACACAAAGACTACCCAAGTGATGATACTAAGTCCAGCTAAATTAACACCTTCTGCAAGAAAAACATATAAATATACCTTAAAAAACCAGATGTAAGAATAAATATAGTCCACATAACTACATCAAGATGAGAATATTAGAGAGTATATTGTTTAATTACCTGGAAAACTCCAAACTTAAAATGAGCAGAAGCGCCTGTTGATGTTGATATGACAGATATCCAATACCAAGAGCACCAAAAGCTTAAAATCTATTAACAAACAAATGATATAGAAACAGTGAGAACAAAAAACATTTTGAGTTATTTACAGAATAAAGTTTTATAAACTCATCAACAAAGTAAGTTTTCTTGAACAGTCCGGGTTTTTAAGATATGAAACAACAAAGTAAAGAATTATGTGGATGCAAAATAGCAAACAAAACAACACCATCAATATAAAAAGTGTAAAAAAAACTATCCACTCCCAAGTGATGATATAAAGCATAACCAGATTAACATTTACTGCAAGCTAAACAAATGAATAAACCTTAAAAATGACATGTACAAATATCTATTCCAACATAACCACATGAACAGAAAAAATATTGCTGAAATGACCTAGCAAACTGAAGTGAAAAGAAGTATCTATTGATATGTTGTTATAACAAATATGGAAGATCAAAAGCGCTAAAAACTTAAATGTTCCAACACAACCACATGAATAGAAAATATATTGTTTAATGACCTGGCAAACTGGAATTAGCAGAAGCAATGTTCATATGTTGCTATGACGAATATGGAAGACCAAAAGCATTAAAAACTTAGAATCTATTTATACACAGATGCTACAAACAGTAACAACAAAAGAAAGGTTTACAGAAGAAAAGTTTTACTAACTGACCAGCAAGAAAAGTTTTTTTGCACACAGGAAACAACAAAGTAGAGAAGTAGTTGAGTATAAAATAGCAAAACAAAAGAACACCATCAAATATAAACACTGCAGAAAACCTATCACTAAACTTGAAAAATATTTTTTAAATATACCTCATATATTAAAAAATATCACCTAAATTCACAATGTAAAAGAAATGGTTGCATAAGAAACAACCAGATACACAAAACCGTCAAACTTCTCTCTCCTCATCACATTAAAAAACGGGCATCATGTAGTAATGGCACATTGATCATAGTAAAATATATATATAATATTACTTTACCACTCATGACACCCCAAAAACATCAAATCATAACTTTTATATATATAAATACATGTAGAGAAATCATTCTAATGAGAGATTTCTAGAAAAAGCTGGTCAGTATTTTTCACATCTGCACACTGCACATTACTGTAATAGACCTTATACTACTGCAATAGACTGATGAAATAGCATCAGAAAATCACAAATAATTGTTTAATCAAATTAATTCTTATCCTTCACATCCTAAAACAAATCAGCAAGACTAATGTTGACTTGGGCCATTTTGTAGCCCAATTCTATGCATATATTTGCAGCAACAAAATCATCCGACCCAAATGAAGAAAAAAAATGTAAAATTGGCCTGATAGAATAATCAAAAAAAGATTTCCATGTCACCTGCATTTTATATTTATAATGACCGAAAATTAAAATCTATTGAAACAAAGAGCTTATCTGTATAAATCGGGTGAACCATCCTCACTCCCTGCACATCCAGGCACCCATCTGTAGAGTTAAGCTCATGGAGGGCAAATGAAATGACGGACACATCATTAAAAAATCATGCGAGAAGTAACGACATAGAAATGTGTATCACCCAAAAAAAATATATAGTGAATAGGACCGATCAAAAGAAGAGAAAACTCTTCAACTCAACCCATTATATCGCTATGCACTGAGAGCAACTGAAATCACAGGCCCACTCACAAAAAATTAAGCAAGAAATAATGGCAACAAAATATGTAATTCAAAAGAAAATGAAACAGAAATTGATAAATTGAACAAAATTGGGCAAGAAATTTGAGCACATTGAGGATATGTAGAAAGGGGGAAAAAGGGGAGAAGAAATCGGGCCGATGGAAAGAAGAAAATAAACTTTTCAAATTCACTCAATAAATTAATAAAATAATAAAATAAGTGTGAATACAAAATATTTGTGAGTGAATGGAATAAAAAAAAAAACCTACAAAAATGAACTGAAAGGACAAAAAACTCAATTACAACCCACTGTAATAACATCACGTGGGTGAGGAAAGGAAAATAAAGACTTAAAAAAATCAAGTGAAAGTACAAAAAAACCAGCTGCACCTATTCAGCAGTACAACATAAATAAGGACATTTTAGTCCGCACAAGAGGGGCACGTGTCAGCTAATGAGGCAGCCTCTTATCGCCTTATTAATATAGGAGACAGATAAGAGAAGATAAGAGAGATGAGTGAGAAAATAGATATACACCAATTGCATTAGTTAGGATTTTACGGTACTCCTATCTAGTCTAGCATAATAAGGCTCTCTACAAACATGGCCTCAAATATGACCGTGCTCTTGAACAATGCAATAGCCTATTCATCTATTGACTGCATATATCTATAGTTGAAACAGAATTCATACCTGATGAGAGAAGTTTAGCAACCAAACAATATTAAGTCAAAAGGCAACACAAATTAGGTATGAACAACCATCAACACAATGTTGTAAACCAAAACCTACTTAAAAGCAAATTACTAACCTAACAGTACCAGCACCCATCCATTTCATCCTTCCTCATTGTAGCTGCCGTAGTGCACCTGTCCCCAAAACGAGAAAAACAAAAATTGAGACATCGAAGAACATAAGGAGAAAAGGAGAAAGCTGAAAGAAATACTTTTACTGGTTGAGAATCTCTGTCGAGTGGAGCAGCGAGAGAGAGAAATCGCTTGGGCGATAGGAGACGTTTAGGGCGTGATGAGATTGTACAGCTGAGAAAGCTCGTTTTGAATTTAGACGACTCCGTTTGAAGTTAATTTTTATCCCAAATTAAACATTTTTTTGGGAATATTCATCAATTTTCCGTGTATTATAGTGTTGATTAAAAAGCATATATAGAATATATTAAAGCTTTTAATTTAAAATTTACTGTGAAATTAGATAATCAAATATATTTTTTTAATCATAATAGTTAGACACTCATATATAATTTTAGAATTTCGACGTCAAACTACTTTTTTAACTTTATATGTAAGTAATTGTTTATTTTTATTACATTGACGGTATTCCAATTAAATTTTAAACAAATATCATTTTTAAAGGAATAATATCATATTTTTCATATTCAAAATGAGTAAAACATGAATATTACAAAGAAATATGAGAAATAAAAAATTGAATATTGGAGAAAAATATGAGAAATAAATTAATATGATTGATTTAGCGAATATACGTAATAGAAAAAATAAAATATAATAAATATGGTAACTATGGAATAAAAATATGGAATGAAATAAATAATAATTGTTTCAATGAAAGAAAACGTTTAATATATTATAGAAATAATTATGCTTCATTTTCATTTTACGTAGCACCCGAGCCTAATAATGTGTCAATCCAAATAATAGAATTATGGCAAATAGGATCCGAATCATGCGACCGAGCATATCAATCCAAAGAATATAATTATGGCAGATAGGGTCTCGAATCATGTGAGTCTGCCACTTAGGCTCATCACATTCGAGAATTAGAATTATATATAAGGGGATACTAATGAATTTTCGGGGAATATTTATAAAATACTAAAGAGTTTTAATGGTTTATGACCCTTAGATCCCAACATTAAACATTTTTTGAGAATATTTATGAAAGTAATGCACATGCACAAATGCAAATAAAATTTTATGTTGTGCGTGCACGTGTAATATTTAAAAGATAATGTGCAAATCACATTTTATAAATTTCTCATTTGTAAAAATGAATGAGATAATCACATTTTATAAATTTCTCATTTGTAAAAATGAATGATATAAATATAAATTATTTAACATACATCTTAAAATTGAAATTTTAAAAATTTTGATTATACCATAAAATATAATTAACTGATTTTATTTAATAAAAAACACACGGGAATCAATAGAAAAGTAGGCAGTCTAAAATCCTCAATTCATTACTCTTGAATAAATGCTTGATGTAACAGCCCGTTCAAAAATCCTTGTATCAGAGCTATGGACAAAGAAAATTCATGTTGGATAATAGATCTATTGACTAGTACTTTCTGATTTCTTTACCCAATACGAAATTAAGATTCAGAATAAGGGAAAATCCGTTTGATAGTGAAAAGAGAAAAATAGAACAAGATCTCTGTTCTAATAGTGAACTTTCACAAATTTCATTCAATAAAAATGAAAAATGCTTTAATGCTATTTTAGCAACAAAACAAGAAGTTTTAACAAAGATTTAAGATTTCAAGTTAAATCTAAAAAAGAAGAAGTTTTTAACATTCCAATGTTAAATTTCGCTAAAATAAAAAATTAAATCTTTTGTTTTGTTAACACACATAAAATGCATGTTGATATAAAGATGATAAAGGAACTGTATATCTACCTTTAACCACCAAAGCATAAATACGAAAGAACATGGAGAATATTTAATCTTCTGCAAGAACGAAAATATATACAATTCACTTAGGAGCAATTAAAATGTTGCATTACAGTTGAATTCTAAGAATGGATTGATACTGCCATAAAAATGACATTAATCAATGATAGAATTAATGACTGAAAAGATTGCATATGCCTATGAGAATGTTTATTTTTACAGTTTATCCTAAATATGGTTTGTCTATTTAAACTGCTAATTTAGATAAAACATTATCTTTCATACATCATATATCACTTTGAAAGAGAAAACTTAATGAACTTGGAGATAAAGTATTTAGTATTACATGTGTTATAAGTTATGTTTCGACTAATAGTCATCATAGAAAAAAAAGTCTTATACTATATTGAACTAGTGGATATCTCTGCGGATGTAGGATGAGTAGAAAAATCATCTTGTGTAACAGCTCTAGAGAAAAACACTGGGCTAGTGATATAGCTAAAGGGAAAACCTTAATAGGAAATAAAAGTCCAATGCAAGTTAAAAAGAAACTTTTAACCATAAGAGAACCTAGTAAACAATCTGCGTCAGAGAGATGTGTTTCTGAGAGACATAATCTATCCAACATATAGGAAAGAATAGATAATTTATCCGAAATGTTAAAACAATTAACTTAGAGGATAAAATGTCTAGTAAGGGTAAAGTTGTCATTTTACCCCTCAAATGGCTATATCTCATTGTATTCTATAATCATTTTTTGTTTTAAAAAGAAGCCAATATATATATATAGGATGTGGTTCAAATGAGAACCAAGTCTTGGTGTGAGAACCGCTATTTTTAATTGTATGTAGTGCTATGATTGATTGTGTTTTAGTGCTCTTTTTAACATGAATGTATTTTATTAAAAATAGTAACACAATTTATATTAACATTTGTGAAAACGATAGCACCATGTGATATTAAAAATAGTATCATACACAATTAAAAATAGCATCAAATATGGTTCTCACGGTTCTCACACCAGGACTAGTTTTTATTTGAACCAACCCCTATATATATATATATATATGGAAAAGGCTACAGCCTACAGTCCATAACGGAACCATTCTGTTGGGATTTTTAGCATTTAGATGCACATGCTACACTAATCTACATGTGCATCTAATGCATCTAATAGTTACAAATCCCAACCGAACAGTTCCGTGGAACTATATATATATATATATATATATAGTGACTCCCTTATTAATTATAGTGCTAATCCGAATGTGATCTCTTTGCTTGGTCTTTCGAGAAAGTAGACTCCCTCTCAAGGCAACTATTTCCGCATCTAGTTACTGACATGTTGCTCCTATTGCTCCTGCCTTACGACATCCCCGATAAAAGGAGGCAACCTTCGGCTCTGGTTGATCCTACAATTGAAAAGTAAGCTTACACCTACCTTATTATTACATCAACCATTGAAAATTGAGCTTACACCTACCTTTATTCATTATCCATCTTGAGCTTGATGGCTCTGCGACTTTACATCTTGAAAACTCTTCGCCATAAGAGTGTGTAGGGCCAAATATGTTTAGTTTTATTAAAAAAGACAGGTTGGGCTGTCCTAGTTAGGCTCGGATTGGGTTGGCCCAGGTTCCGCACAATGCCAGTTCCACCATTGTCGTCCATATATCCTGCTAGTAACAAAAAATAACAACTGCAGCGACTCGTGAAACTCGGCAAGAACAACACTGTTAACGTTCCTTGACGTATTGTAGGTTATCGAAGCTCGAGACAGAAAGTCGTTTGTGGTGGTGTCGGTTTAACCCAGTTCAAGGACAATTTGCGTATCAAAATACAACGGAAAATCTAAAACATACTTGAAAAATTAAAATTAATACTCTTAGAATATCGCTTCTAGAAATCCGGTCAAAAATAAAAATACTATGTAGATGTTTTTTTTGAAGCGATAAAATTCATTACTAAAAATACATAATTACAACTTGCCCATACATCAATGTAGATTGATTGAGAGGAAAATTGAGGTACCAAATGTGCCGTTAAAAATATTTGGGTACTAAAACAATTTTTTTCCCTTCTAGAAAAAATATACATAGTTGGGTGAGTTTTAAAAACAGGGGTTTGCGGCTGGCCGGTCTTCTTCTTCCGCCATGGGAATCCTCAGAATCACCACCAATCTTCCGGCGAACGCCAAATACAAATTTAAAAGATTCCTCTCCGCAAGTATCTCTACGTCGACTGTCCGTCGTGTTCCCGCCTCCGGCGGCACCGTCCTCTCATATGCGTGGTGGCATCCGCCCGATCTGAACCCTGCCGCCGCCGACATCAGCAGCAGCAACAGTCTCATGCTCGCGGTGGAGCATGTGAGCAACGGAACCCGCGATTACGCCGTAATCTCAACCGAAGGCGACTCGTTCGAAGTAATAAACGAAAATCCCCCAAACTTCTCTATCCTCAGAGCTGCAAAGGACGATGTTGAGCATCGGAGATGCGAAAATTATGTCATGGGGAGTTGCCACAAGTGGATGCTGTTGAAAAGTCT